TCTCTCTCTCTCTCTCTCTCTCTCTCTCTCTCTCTCTCTCTCTCTCTCTCTATCTATCTATCTATCTATCTATCTATTTCTCTTTCTCTCCGTGTTGTGTGTGTGTGTGTGTGTGTGTGTTTGTGTGTGTGTGTGTGTGTGTGTATGTGTGTGTGTGTGTGTGTGTGAGTGCGTGAGTCTCTCTGTCTCTCTCCATTTCTCAAACACATACAACACAAACAAATTACACTCAAAACGCACTCGCCAGCACACAGTCACACACTTACACATGTTATTATACACATGCAAACACGCGCACCAACACAGACATATACACACGCGCTCGCGCGCGCACACACACACACACACACACACACACACACACACACACAAACCATACACTTAAAACACACTGACAAGAAACTTTAAACTTTAACCCTTCCAGCCCCAGCCATTTTTGTGCACTCCCTAACCCCAGTCCCAGCCAATACAGCAGTATTTCAGAAAAAGAGGCATTCATTCTAAAAAGTGAAGTAGTATCTTTGTAACGTAGCTTTGATAATAACATATACCAATTTTTATAGGTAAATGAACAAGTAATAAGAAAATTAAAGTTTAATTAAGTACGCTAATTTCGAAAAATGCACGAATTCGGTACCCCCGAAACTGAGAATATACGCTCTTGGGACGGTAGGAGGTACAAGCGCTGCTGAAAATATACGCGCATGGGGCTGGAAGGGTTAAATTACTTGCTATTATAGGCCATTTTTTGCACACGTTTCTATTGAGACATGTCAGATCCAGGTACATTGTATTATTGTTATGCAATGTGCGACGTGCTCTCTTACCCCCATAAGCATTATTGCCACATAATTTTGCGCCAGCTTTTCCTCCCCAATCCCCTCCCCTTCTCCGTTCCCAAGTTCCAACCCCCATCCCCTGGCATCTCTCTCTCTCTCTCTCTCTCTCTCTCTCTCTCTCTCTCTCTCTCCCCCCCCCCATCGCTTCACACTTTCCTTCACGGCCCTCTCACCTTACCCCTCCCCCCCGTCTGTCGCCTCCCAGTCTCCTTCTCTTTCCTTCACTAACCATTTCCTCTCCCCTCCATTAATAAAACCTCCGTTTTGCGATTATTTTTCTCCCTCTCCCTTGCCTCCCTCTGTAACATTATTCGTCTCATATCAACTCGGGTATCAAATCCTCCGTTCGCCTCCTCATTTACCTACCTATTTCCCTTCTTAGCCTTGTGCTACTTTGTCAACCCCCCCCCCTTTTCCCCCAACCTCATTCCCACCCTCTTTTCAATCCCTATGTGACTATTTTCTTCCTACCCCCTTGTTCCCCTCTATGTTCTCAAATTTTACAGCGTATTTTCTTACACACATTTAATAGCTCCACCATCTTCCAAACTATTTGTCTGCTCCCTTTCCCCCATTCCCCTGTAGCTACCCCCTGCCCAATCCCTTTTCTGCTTAACATTAAATGTTTTGTACTTTTCTGTTGAACATGAAACTTCATACATACCACCTGCCCTCGCTGTTTCCATGTCCTTATCCAAATGCTTAGGCGCAAGAACCCCCCCCCCAACCCC